ACATGCTATTTTTATTTATTTATTTTTTTGCCAACCCTGAACTACATTTGGTTTAAGATACTTGAATTATGGGCTTGTAGTGAGAGTAAACCTCAAAGGTTGATTGCTGAGGTGAATTTGGTCAATAATTCTTTATATTACCAATGGCAGAAAAGAGAACAGTACCCAATTAAAACTATAAAATGATACATTAGGGGCACCTGGGTGGCTCAGTCATTAAGCGTCTGCCTTCGGCTCAGGTCATGATCCCAGGGTTCTGGGATCGAGCCCCACATCGGGATCCCTGCTCGTCAGGAAGCCTGCTTCTCCTTCTCCCACTCCCCCTGCTTGTGTTCCTTTTCTCTCTCTGTCAAATACATAAATAAAATATTTTTAAAAAAATGATACCTTAGATGTATCTCAGATGTTATGTACCTCAGATGTTATGTCATGGGGAGATGAATAGTAGAGGAGGAAAGAGCTATTAAAAAGGGTAAAGAGGGAATAGGAAGTAGGAATTTAAAACATTAAGGGTGGTGACACTAATATGTAAAATGCAAAAAAAGTATGTATATGATACCCTTTATAAATACAACTCAAGTCACATACTGTTCATGGTAGGTGATCAGAACCTGAAAATAGAAGCACATAACAAATCTTGAGAAGAGATTAGGTGTAGTTCTGGATGTGCATATTAAAATATATAGAATTTCATAAATTTATTGAAGCACGGGATAAATTTAGGTGAGTGAAAAAAAGAGAAAAGGATATTTTGAATATTAACTGAAAATTGTCCCCACTGGATATAATAAATAGATGCTGTATTTCTGACTGAGATTTAAAAATGGTGCAGAAAATAGTTATAATAATGATAGAGGATTTCAATCATCTAAATATCTGTAAAGATCTTCATTCAGTTAAAAGAAGTATCTGTAATGAGCAATAATTATATTGAAGGTAGAAAGCTAAGGGAGCTTTTACTTTGATTACATAATTAAAAACAAGGAGAAATGACTGAAAGGTTGGTTATAGACCTTGAAAAAGGAGATCGTGTTTTAGATTCAATGATGGCCATGTTGGGGAATGTTGGATATAATGGATCTTGTACCTACTACTTCAAAAATGAGAGAGTAGAAAGTTCAGAGAAAATTTTCATGATCAAAATGTGGAAGAAAAGGGAATGGCATCTGTAGAAAGTTGCATAACCAGAAATAGTTCTATGAGCCCAGAGTTTTTTGTTTTTTTTTTAAGATTTATTTATTTGAGAGAGAGAGAGCGCAAGAGAGCAAGCACGCAGAGGGAGAGGGAGAAGCAGACTCCCCACTGAGTAGGGAGCCCGAAGTGGCGTTTAATACCAGGACCCTAGGATCATGACCTGAGCCAAAGGCAGACGGCTTAACTGACTGACCACCTAGGTGCCTGAGCTCAGAGTTTAAAGGACATGTAAAGTAGACCTCATAAGGGAAGTATAAAACGAGGTATATCAGTCACAAGGACAGAATTGTGAGAATACGTAAGAAAGCCAAAGGCTAGATTGAGTCCAGGCTTCTGAAATTTTCTAAAATAACCAAAAGGGCCTTTTAAATTATTTTGGGAACATGAAGAACAAGAAAAGAATAAGCCTTTTTAGGGCAAACGGTGCTTTGTTTATGTATAGACAACAGAAAGTAAATAGAAAGTAAAGCTGTTCAGGTATTATCTTGCTATAATCTTTATCAAGGTGCATAGTTTTTCACTTGCAAGGATAGCAAATACATTTGAATTGATAATATTAAAAAATAGCACATGGATTGATAATACTAAAAAACAAATAGGGAGATGAGAACAGAAAAGGAGGTGAAATGAAGGGAATACATATTAATTTCCTTATCTTTTTAGTTAATATGAAGACATAAAGGTTTTTTTTTTTTTTTTAAAGATTTTATTTATTTATTCATGAGAGAGAGAGAGGCAGAGGGAGAAGCAGACTTCCCACAGAGTGGGGAGCCCGATGCGGGACTCGATCCCAGGACTCCGGGACCATGACCTGAGCCGAAGGCAGACGCTTAACCATCTGAGCCACCCAGGCGCCCTTAAGATTTATTTTAGAGAGCAAGAGAGGGTGTGAGCAGTGGGAGGGGCAGAGGGAAAGCAGACTCCCTGCTGAATCGGGAGACCCATGCTGGGCTCCGTGCCCCCCCTCACTCCGTGATCATGACCTGAGCCAAAACTGAGTGGGATGCTTAACTGACTGAGCCACCCACGTGCCCTAAGACATTAAGGTTTAAATACACTTAATTATAAAGGTGACCATCAAAAGACAAAAAAAGAGGACTAGATTTGTTCCAAAATAAAAATTAGCAAAACAAACCCCTAAAACAAATATAATTCAAAAGGCATTAAAAATAGAATGGGGCACCTGGGTGGCGCAGTCAGTTAAGCATCCAATTCTTGGCTTTGGCTGAGTTTGTGATCTCAGGGTCATGAGACTGAGTTCCCCGTTGGGCTCTGTATTGGGCGTGGAGCCTGCTTAAGATTCTCCATCCCCTCTCTTGTGCGCACTTTCTCTCTCTCAAAAAAAAAAAAAAAGAAACAACAAAGAATGTGTGATATTTCACTGATGATCTGAAACGTTTGTGTTAAGGAAGGAAATTTTCTACAAGCTTTGGATTGGTTAATTCCTGGGAAAATTCTTCGAAAGATTAAGAAATAGATGGTCTGAAATCTCTTGAACAGTTATCATAAAGAGAAACATGGACTCACAGAGAACAAGGTCTCTCCAGAACCATTTCCTGTTTTTGAGATAGAAGAGGGACATTCTGTAACAATTTGTGTTGCAGTAAGGCATATGATTGTTTTTCATTTTATTTAAAGTAATTAAATAAAATTAAAAATTCATTGAGATAGAAGAGGGACATTCTGTAACAATTTGTGTTGCAGTAAGGCATATGATTGTTTTTCATTTTATTTAAAGTAATTAAATAAAATTAAAAATTCAGTTCTTCATCTGCTGATTAGACAGCACAGATAAAGAATATTTTCAGTATCATAGAAAGTTCTACTGAACAGCGCTGCCCTAGAGATTCCTATTCTGTAGGTATGGCGTGTTCCAGATTTTGCAGTCTCTCTAGAGATGACCTATATAGTTAGGCAGAGTTGTAACTATTTGATTCTTCATGTTGTACCTCCTGTAATTTCCCCATTAACCCTTTGTTTTAGCTAGCTTGTTGGTTAGTGCTATGTGGAAGTCCTTTATAAACTTCCTTTTGGCTTTTCTTTGTCCCTGTGCTTTTTTTTTTTTTTTTTTAAAGATTTTATTTATTTATTTGATAGAGAGAGAGAGACAGCGAGAGAGGGAACACAAGCAGGGGGAGTGGGAGAGGGAGAAGCAGGCCTCCCACTGAGCAGGGAGCCTGATGCGGGGCTCGATCCCAGGACTCTGGGATCATGACCCGAGCCGAAGGCAGACGCTTAACGACTGAGTCACCCAGGCGCCCCTCTTTGTCCCTGTGCTTTTGCTCCTACCTGCTTGTGGTGGATGCTGTCTACTGGGTTGTTTTCTCAGCATCTGTTCTCCCTTGCTGCTGAATAGGATACCGACTTTCTTTTTTTTTTTTTTAAAGATTTTATTTATTTGACAGAGAGAGACAGTGAGAGAGGGAATACAAGCAGGGGGAGTGGGAGAGGGAGAAGCAGGCTTCCCGCTGAGCAGGGAGCCTGATGCGGGGCTCGATCCCAGGACTCTGGGATCATGACCTGAGCCGAAGGCAGACGCTTAACGACTGAGCCACCCAGGCGCCCAGGATACCGACTTTCTTGAGATGTGTGCCATCCCTGAGGCCAAGTTGGTGCTTTCCTCAGCTTCCCCAGGTTTTATCTGATTGGCAAGAGGAATGGATTTGTAACCCATGTGACATGTGAGGAGGGAAAGTTTGGAAGTAGGAAGTTAGAGTTTCCTCACTCTTGAGAGACCTGTGGGAATAGAAAACTTCTGGGCGCCTGGGTGGCTCAGTTGGTTAAGCGCCTGCCTTCGGCTCGGGTCATGATCCTGGAGTCCCGGGATCAAGTCCCGCATCGGGCTCCCTGCTCCGCAGGGAGTCTGCTTCTCCCTCTGACCCTCCTCCCTCTCATGCTCTCTGTCTCTCATTCTCTCTCAAATAAATAAATAAAATCTTTAAAAAAAAATTAAAAAAATAGAAAACTTCTCTTCTTCTAAACATTGTGTATGGATGTAATGCCTAGCACTGCTCGGGCCATTTTTCCAATCACCTTGAGAAAAAGCCACCAGCAAGGATATTATATAAGGTGGAAAAAACCGAGTCTTTACATTGAGCTGCTGAATAAACCAGTCCTGAAATCTGCCCTTTTTCTGCATTTATTGTGCAATGATAATAAATTTTCTTATTACTTATCCATTCCAAAATGTGTTCCTGTTACTTGCAGCTAAAAACATCTCAATTATCCTTCAAAATTTAGCTCAAATCTTCACTTCTGAGGAAACTTCCAGACTATTTTGTTCACATTTCTTTTTCAGAATGCTTTTAGAATATGGCATTCAACCATGACTTCTTTGATGTTGTTAAATTACAGTCCTTAAACTGTTTGATTTATTGGTCTTGTTTCTTCAACTCTTTTTTAAAAATTTTTTTTTAAAGATTTTATTTATTTATTTGACAGAGAGAGACACAGCGAGGGAGGGAACACAAGCAGGGGGAGTGGGAGAGGGAGAAGCAGGCTTCCTGCCGAGCAGGGAGCCTGATGCGGGGCTTGATCCCAGGACCCTGGGATCATGACCTGAGCCGAAGGCAGACACTTAACGACTGAGCCACCCAGGCGCCCCTTGTTTCTTCAACTTAATTGCAGGTTCTTTGAAGCTCAAACATTAAAAATACCTTGTATATAGATAGTCAAATATTTTTTCCCTGCCTTCCTAAATTTGTGATCATAGACATGAGTTTATGGAAACATAAAAAAGCAGAAGTTAACGAAATTAAACATGTTTTAAAGGTTTTGAAATAAAGATTTTGTCATTTGCTTTCTAGCTGTCACCACCGAGTAAAGAAGAGAAAACTGCGGCAGAGCAATTAAAATCTTTCATGTCAGACTTATGAAGAAATGGACTTGCAAAAGGGAATTCTAATGGAGAAGAGAGCTATCCCAGAAAGATTTAGGAAGATGTCTCGTTAGCACTTGATGACTAGAGGTGGGGGAATGGAGAAGAAGATTTGGCTGGAGTGACTGGATAATGATGCCTTTCACAAGAGAGGGGACTATAAAAAGGGCAGATACTATAGGAATAAAGTTTAGCCAAAAGGATGGAATGGGAATAAAGAGATTTAAAAATATATATGCACACACACTTAGTCTTGTAATTTCGAGCAAGGAAGTCACATAACTCTATTTTGCATCTGTTTTTGTGTAATTGGGATAATATGGATGTCCTGGCCTATCATGAAAGGATATATGTACTATCAGTCAGATGTGAATGAGCATGCTTTGGAAATTAAAGGATAGAAAAAATATTTGTATTACATTATATATATGTATATAATTTTACTTTTGAAAATTTTGTTTATAGGTAATGGTCACATTATTAATGAGACTGCTAATATGTGACCTATAGTCCTCCACAAAAGCTAACTTTAGTAATAATAAATTGGCTTTTCTGTGATAGTCTCACTTTTTTTTTCCTATTCCTTTTGCCGCTAATGTTGAGCAACTGAACTATGCTTTCAAATGCTGTTTTAGACTGTCCCTGTTGTATATCAACACTACCTTTGTTCTCCTTCAGCCTGTATTACTGTAATCGTTCATTCTGTATGAAAGCTAAGAAACTGAAATCAGAGGATCACTTGCCAGTGTGTGTGTAAATTTCCCTATTCATTTTTTTTTTTTCTTTTTAAGATTTTATTTGACAGAGAGAGACACAGCGAGAGAGGGAACACAAGCAGGGGGAGTGGGAGAGGGAGAAGCAGGCTTCCCGCAGAGCAGTGAGCCCGATGCGGGGCTCGATCCAGGACCCTGAGATCATGACCTGAGCCGAAGGCAGATGCTTAATGACTGAGCCACCCAGGCGCCCTTCCCTATTCTTTTTTTTTTTTTCTTCTTTAAGATTTTATTTACTTATTTGACAGAGAGAGACACAGGGAGAGAGGGAACACAAGCAGGGGGAGTAGGAGAGGGAGAAGCAGGATTCCCGCGGAGCAAGGAGCCCGACGCGGGGCTCGATCCCAGGACCCTGGGATCGTGACCTGAGCTGAAGGCAGACACCTAAGGACTGAGCCACCCAGGCGCCCCCTCCCCTATTCATTTTTAAATAACTATTTTAAAATAACTACTGGCAATAATGTAATCATAGGGACAGATCTTGATACAAAGAGGTTAATCACAGGGTTATTTATACTAACAGTACATATACATATCTGGCTAATAGTAGGTAAATAGGAAAATAAATCATAGTGTATCCATACAATAAGAGGTGAAGCTGCCAATAATTTATTACTGTTAATGTTCTGGGAAATGCTGAAGTTATGTTAAATGGGGGAGAGGTCAGAAGCAGAGATTGCAGTTTTGTACTTAAGATTGGGCTTTGGAGTCTGAGATGTAAATAGCAGGTTTTAAATTCTAGCTGTGTGATCCTGAGCAAATCACTTAACTTCTGCGTGTCAGGATGGCTGGAAGCACAATGAAATGGTAGTGTTTGAGTTTGATAATTAGTAATCCTTCAGTGAATATTTCTGTATATGTAATAAAAATGAGGCATTGAAAAGACTAGGAAAAATGTATCAAATGTTAGCTCTGCAGGTTATAGAATTATACTTTCATATAATTAAAAATTTGTTATGAGCATTTTATTTGTCCATTAACAAACCTGTAATAGGTGATAAACAGGGTTGGGAGAGTAGCTTCAGTTAAAATTATACTGTGTAGTTTGAATATTTAAAGAACAGAAAACCCCCAGTTTTTAAATTACAGAGAAATAAGTCATACCTCAGTAACATATTTTCTTCAGTACTTGGGCAGTTAATATTAAGGAAGTTTTGTCCTGGAATGGCTCTGGGATGTGATGTTGACTGGTGGAATTAAAAAATAGTATCACAAAGAGGACAAGTTCCTGAAGTTTTACCTCTGTGACTTCCTTCACAATTGTCTTCTAAGTGTTGGTTCTTTCCCTCAGCTCCCTTAAAACTGTTCTCTGTGTACTCCTCTATATATTCATTTGTTTCCCAAGCTTCATTTATTGACTCTGTGGATGATTCCCAAATATAACTTCTTCCATTAGATCTAGATTCATATTTCCAATAAGAATGTCTATCTGAATATTCAAATTGATCATGTCTAGAGTACTTACTGATTTTATTTTGTCAATGGCCACTGTTCTTTTACCTGGAATTAAAAAATTTGCATCCCTTTATCTTCTTAGTCAATAAAATCTTTCTGAAATGTTCATAGTATCCAATCTCCACTTTATCTTCACTCTTACTACCCTAATTTAGGTCTTTTATTTCTCATTTGGGTAATTATTTTCTATGTGACTATAATGTTTTTACGTCTTAAGTTGTAAATAATACAAATTTAATACAAATTTAATTTTATGAAATTAAAAAATACAAGTATGTCTATTCTCCAGAAATTATCTGCAATCTCTTCAGATGTTTGTATATACAAATTAAAAAAAAATTTTTTTTTTTTTACAAAAATAAGCTGATACCATACGTTGTACTGCAGCTGCACTTAAGTTTTTTCCATTGTAAATATATTTTGGATATTTTCATGACACACATCTGCTATTCTTTTGAACAGCTGTCATCCAATATATGGATATACTATGATTTTTCCATTTTCTTATTGATAGGCATTGATAGACTGTATAATAGACAAGTTAGATTTGTCCAGGTGGGTGTGGGGAAAGGCAGCTATATTGGCCCTTAAGGAATTCTGATGGAGCAGATCACAGGTTTCCCAACTCCATGTGGAAGCTTAGCATCCCTCCAACTAAATTCTTTTTTGCTTAAGTTAGCCAGAATCTGACTCTGGTTGCAACCAATGACCCCTAATTGTATAGGTTTTCACTATTATGAACGAGTGCAATAAATCTAAACATTTTTGGGTTCTTGGGCAAATATTATCTATTAGTACAAGAACTTATTTTAATATTTATCATATTTAGTAATTTGTCTTATTTTTTTCACTTTAATCATTACTCTTTGAATCCCAAGTGCAATACTGTATTCCACAAATAATTTTCTTTTCTTTTTTTTTTTTTAAAGATTTTATTTATTTATTTGACAGAGAGAGACACATTGAGAGAGGGAACACAAGCAGGGGTAGTGGGAGAGGGAGAAGCAGGCTTCCCGCGGAGCAGGGAGCCTGATGTGGGGCTCGATCCCAGGACCCTGGGATCATGACCTGAGCCGAAGACAGACGCTTAACGACTGAGCCACCCAGGCGCCCCAACACAAATAATTTTCTTAATTGGGATAAAATTCACGTAACAAAATTAACCATTAACCATTATTAAAATGTACAATTGAGGGCATTTTAGTGCAAATGGTAGCAATGCAAACATCACGACCATAAATAATTTCTAAAGAACTTTTTAGTCACAGATTAATCTTACTAAATTATATACCTGTCCATGCCTCACATAGTAAAAAGGGAATTGCTGCCCACTATAACAAAGTCCAAATCCCTTGATACTTAATAATTTCTTTCTAGGGACACCTGGGTGGCTCAGTCGGTTAAGCGTCTATCTTCGTCTCAGGTCATGATCCCCGGATCCTGGGTTCGAGTCCCGCATCGGGCTTCCTGCTCAGCGAGGAGCCTGCTTCTCCCTCTGCCTGCTCTCCCCTGCTTGTGCGCTCTCTCTCTCTCTCTCTCTGACAAATAAATAAAATCTTAAAAAAACCCACAAAACTTCTTTCTAGGTTATTGGGTTTTTTAAAGATTTTATTTATTTATTTGACAGAGACACAGTGAGGGAGGGAACACAAGCAGGGGGAGTGGGAGAGGGAGAAGCAGGCTTCCCGCGGAGCAGGGAGCCCGATGCGGGGCTCGATCCCAGGGCCCTGTGATCATGACCTAAGCTGAAGGCAGGCGCTTAACGACTGAGCCACCCAGGCGCCCCCTTTCTAGGTTATTGTTGATTCTTTACATGTGCACTCCAGATTGGGTTAAGTGTAATAGTTTGCAATAAACCAGGAAAAATTAAGTACAAATTAAGAATTTGATGTAAGTCCTTTGTCTCACACCTTCAATTCTTGCAATCTTTAGACCTATGACAGAAAATTCAAAGAAGACGCCAACAGGGGCGCTTGGGTGGCTCAGTCGGTTAAGCATCTGCCTCCGCCTAGGGTCGTGATCCCAGGGTTCTGGGATGGAGCCCCGCATCCGGCTCCCTGTTCAGCGGGAAGCCTGCTTCTCCCTCTGCTGCTCCCCCTGCTTGTGCTCTCTCGCTGTCAAATAAATAAAATCTTAAAAAAAAAGATACCAACATAGGAAAGCTGAACACAGTTCTTGCACTTTCCATAGTCCCATAGCGACAGCTCACCTCCGGCGGTAAGAAATGCAATGTGGAGTGGTGTGGATCTGACCTCTACAGTTTATGGCTCCATTCTCCCAACCCTGAAATGAGAAACTACACCGCTCTAGGCTTAACAATCTGGAGCTTTGAGTCGGTGGGGCGGAAGTCTCAAAACCTGAGAGCCCGGGCTTCCTTCCAGGGAAAGAACCACTAGCCACGAATCCTATACACCACGGTTTCTCAAAGGTGCGGGTCACAATCCACCTGTTGAAGACGTTAGTTTCGTCGAACAGCACCCTAGAATCACCGAGTCTGAATACCTAGGGGTGGGGCTGCGGAGTCAGCTTCCCACCAGCACTCCAGGTGGTTCCAGTCTTTGGCGCGCTAGTTTGAGACCGGTGGAGCACCGCCCTCCCGGGGAGTGGGGGTGGAGGGGCGACGCAGAGATACGCGCCAAGCTCAGCCGCCTGCGCTGACTGGGGCCAAAGGCACTCAGCCCTGCGGCCGCTAGCAACCAAATCTCGTGTGCGCCCCCGCACCGCGGGAACTAGTCGCCCGCCTCTCTCCTCTCCGCTCCGCTCTCCTAACGCAGCGTCCTGCGCGCATGCGCAGCGCGCCTTCTCTCGCCGCCGCGCCCTCAGCTACCCTGGTTACCGTTGGTGTTTGCGAATTCCCTGCGGCACCTTCTTCGCTGGAGACCAGCGCCGCCGGGCTCTAGCAGCAGTTCCATACGCGCGCGCCCGCGTCACGTGGTGCGAGGCTGCCTCGCGGTTGCTGGCGTGCGGCTTAGCGGTGAGGAAGGAGCTGTGGCCACCGCTCGCCTTTCCCACTGCGCCCTAGGGCGGGTGCGCGGATAAATATGGCGAAGTGGGGATAGCTGGCGTCGAACCCGACGCGATGAGGCGCGCAGGTGGGGCGGTCGTCGGGGCCCCCTGACGTGGACGCCGGGCTGTTCTCGTCGGCGATTTGACCTGGCGGCCTCGGACCGGCGCCAAGTAGGTCAGACCACGGACTCCGCGGGTCGCCGAGGGCCCCGCCGAGAGCCGGAGGCAATGGATGAACAGAGCGTGGAGGTGAGGCGGGTCGAGAAGGGTGGTGGTTAGTTTCCCCCCCGCCACCCGCCGAGCGTTCTTTATTTGGGGCGCCCTGCCCCAGTCTTCCCTCTAGTAGGGCACCCCCACCCCGACGCTGCCGCTGTGGTGAAGGCTGGCCCAGTGCGAGGGACGCCGTGTTCGGTCTGCAGCCCTCCAGGTGCCTTGTGTTCTGACCGTTCCCGAAGTCAGGTGGTGCGTATCCTGGCGTTTTCTGGATGTCTTGGCACCGGTACTCGTTCCCAGAGGGTTTTTGCAGACTACAGCCTGGGCAGAGCAAAACTGCAAATTCATTAGACGTGTCGTGCACTCGCTACCAGTTCTTGCGAGTTCATGCGGGGATCCAAAACTCCCTCCAGATGGAATCCTTCATTCCCTCCCACCGGTACATTTTGCAGACTTCTGCCCTCCCTAAATTGAATGAAGATATATTTTTATTATCCTATTTGTGGTTTTCCGGAACAACCTATTTTATATCTGACTCTTGTGAGTTGTGATTTCAAATGGGATATTTACGTAAAGTCCAGAAACATAAAAAAAAGATTGTTTATTGGACGTAATTATTTAATAATTGTCAAATTTTGAACCTTAATACTGAACCCTTGCTCCTTAGTAAGCGGCAACTATATTACTGGGCACTTCACTTGAAAGGAGTTCACCCAGTGGTCTTATTGTCCATCCCCCGCCAGCGTCTGCATCTCACAGGTTCGTTCTTGTTCTGCAGAGTCATGATTAGACTCGTGAATAATTTTCTCCTTAATTCCCCATGCGAAAGTATTATAAAGGTTTTGTAACGTTTTCTTGGTTTAGGAGCGTTTTATTCTCTTGGGATGGAGTAAAAATAAATGTGAGTATGGTAAAAAATAAACTTGAAATATAGAATAACCTACATTTAATTCTGTTTTCTTGTCAGTTACTTTCTAAATTGATTCGTCTGAGGCTTGCAAAGGACACTGTTTCTTCTATTAATTTTTTCTTCTTCGCAAAGCCTTCATGGGGCTACCACTAAAATTCTCAGTAGGGGCAGAATCTCAGGCTCAAATGAGAAGCTAATTGGTTGGAGCATCAGGGCAGAAACCCAGGATTTCTGGATTCTGAATTAGTTTCTCTCCTGGTCAAAGTATACTGCCATTAGGATACGTATCTTCTAAATTAAAAAAAAATTTTTTTTTTTTAGATTTTATTTATTTATTTGACAGAGAGAGACACAGCGAGACAGGGAACGCAAGCAGGGGGAGTGGCAGAGGGAGAGGGAAAAGCAGGCTTCCCGTGGAGCAGGGAGCCCATTGTGGGGCTTTGATCCCAGGACCCAGGGATCATGACCTGAGCTGAAGGCAGACGCTTAACGACTGAGCCACCCACGTGCCCCCCCTTTTTTTATTTTAAAAGCAATTCACCCCCCGTTGGAGAAATTGCAGGACAAGTAAAAAGTTTATATTGTTCACTCATGTAATCTGCCTTTTTCTTTTTTTAAAGATTTTATTTATTTGAGAGAGATAGCACACAAGCAAGGGGTAGTGGTGGAGGGAGAAGCAGGCTCCTCGCTGAGCAGGGAGCCTGATGGCAGGGCTGCATTCCAGGACTCTGGGATGACCTGAGCGAAAAGCAGACACTTAACAGCCTGAGCCACCCAGGTGCCCCCCGCCTTTATTTTTTTACTGTTATACATCGTAAGCATTTTTCTGTATCAAATGATTCAAGAAGTATTTCTAGAGACTATTATAATCTATGTTAAGTCATTTTTTTTGTTAACTGTCATAATTTAATATTTGGAAATTTGGGCTACAGCCACATTCTTGCCATTATAATTTATGCCTTAGTGGAAATATTTGT